TAATAAAATGTGTTCTGTGCTTCAGTTAGACCTTCTTATAACTTGGCACTTCAAAGGTGGCAATGCCAAAGAAAAATTGTTAGTCCATAGAGACATAAAGGATTTCTCAGGAAGACAGATCTCCAGGAGCCCAGTGCCTTGGCACAGTGTATCCTCCCAGCACGACTGTCTTTTGTCTAGACTCATTGGAGAGTCTTCTCTCATGTTTCAATGCTGTTTGGGTGAAATGTATACTGTAGTCACTTCCAAAACCTAAAGAAGAACAACCATGCTTTTACCCTTAGCTAGAAAAGAGCTGTGCACATAACCAGGCAATAAAATGTTGACTAGGCATGAACTGACTATCATGAACATGGATGATACAGAACACACTCACACATGGAAGTACAGTAGATAGATCCCTTCATTTTGCATTTTCATTAGTGGGCAACAGATTTTCTCCAAAGGACATACAAATGTGCCTGGGTCTTTTAAGTCACAAGAAGAAGCATGCAATTTGTATGGGTCTCTCTGAATGCATTTTTCAAGTGATGGGAATGGGCTCTGTCATTAATATAATGTAAAAGGTAGCTAGCAGCCAAGGGAGCAAGAGATTCCATCTCTCCTACCCTTCTACATCTAACACATAAATACCAAACCCCAGGAGCCCTGGGGCCTCTTCTTTGCCCAATCACCATCATTGACTCTGTCACTGCTTCAGGCTGCTTAATCTGACCTGAGGCTGCAAACCACCTATCTTAAGCTGACTCCCATCACGCTGGAGCTCTTCATTTGCTTCTGGTTGTCTTTTTCGCCACTCAGTTTTGCAAAAGCAATCCGCTTCTGCATCCTGAGCAATTAATCACTCCTTAACTCTGAAGTGCTGGTCCTTGACCTCACCACTATAAGGAGCTACACTCTGAAATTTGATAAGGACATCTCCCAACCAAATGACATCATGCCAAATCTCACGGCATAATGTCCATCCTCTCTTTTTCCACATATTGTAGCTTTCCATCCATGTGGAATCTTCTAGAGGCTCTTCACTCTGGCTATTATCTCCATATTACTCCATGGCCACTTGTTCTTCTGGCATGTATTCTGTTTCCCTGGTTAGGAAGGCGGGATGTTTTCTACCTGTGTTAGTTTCTTTTTTGTGGCTGCAATAAAATGTCCTGACAGAAGCAAATTAAAGAAGAGTTCATTGTTTTGTTGGAGACCGACTTAGTCATGTAAGGGACAGTATGATATGGTTTCCTGCCCCTAAAACAGAGCCAGAAGGGTGTGGGCCTCCACGAGTGTTGATGGATGGTGTGCATAAGGCTTGTTTGTATAGTAGTGTACATATTTTCATGTTCCTATGCCCTCCCTGTCAAGGTTAATGTCTCCATAATCAGAGCAACATGAGTCTGAGAGGTGAGGGTGTGTCTTTGTCTCACAAGATAGTAGTACTCTGTGATCTTCAGGACAGCCCTTAGGCTATGAAAAAGAACTCTAAAGACATGAATTTAAAAATATAAGTTTTCAACTATGCAAAATATAAAGATGTAATATGAATTATATGAGGGGCTTAACAGACCTAAAAAACAGAGGCAACTGCATTATAAGCCAGCTTGTTGGAAAGATACAAAGACAGGCAGATAAAAAGGCAGTAGATTCCGGAGTTCAAGGTCATTTTAGGACAGAAGAAATTTAGGTCTAGGAGTGTTCGGAATGGTGATCTTAGGACAAGGTCCCACATAGCAAAAGTTACAAAGGCAGGTAGGTATCTGAATTCTTTTTGCAATATTAAAAAAAAAATGTGCAGGCTGTGTCTTCCTAAGAATTAAGGGACTAAGGTCATGGAATGCTGATTCATTTGATGGTCAAGAGGGAACCTGGAATTGACCCATAAATAAATAAATAAATAAATAAATAAATAAATAAATAAATAAATTAAAAAAAAAAACTGGGCATTTGGTCTGCATGAGATGAGCCAGCAGAGAGCAAGAGCAGTTAGATCTCCTTTAGAATTTGTTCTAGGGAGAGCTGAGCTATCTGGAGATCTCTGGAGAATGAACACAGCTCTTCTAGGATTGTTCATAGCTCTTTTACAATATTTTCTAACAGGACTTCTGACCTTGGCCGGAAACCCCACGAATTACTTAGAGAGCTAACACAAGTCTTTTGGAATGTTTTCCAGCAGGTATCCAGAGAAGGCTGTCTGAAGATCGAACACAGCTCTTATAGAATTTTTTCTGGCTTTCCGATTTTAATCAGGAAACCCTAGAATTACTTTTAGAACTTTTCTAACAGGATTTCTGACTTGGTCAAAAGATCTAAGAAATTTTTATAGCAACTTTTCTGATTCTGGTCAGAAAACCTATGAGCTATCTAGAGAGAGTTCAGAATTTTTACTAGCAGAGAAAGCTGTCATAACCAGACAGAGCTGTATCAAGCAGAAAGCTAGCTGTCTTGAACAAACTACAGAGCCAAGAGCTATCTACAAAGAACTGTCTGGGCAGACCTTCAGCTTGTAACCCTTGACTTGACTTCAAGTCATTTGTTTCACCGTTTCCAGACACTCCTTCTCTCAGGAACCCAGACCTGGCTGAGGCTGGTCCTTGGGAGTTGTAAGTCCTTAGGGAAGGCGTGAGATTCTGGCAGGAGCAGGAATATGTAGATTTTCATAGATACAAGGTTAAGCAGAGAAAGGAAAACAGGAAGCTATAAACTCTCAAAGCCCACCCACATATTTCCTCTAGCAGGACTCCATCTCCTACAGATTCCACAACCTCCCGAAATAGTTCCACTACCTGGGGACCAAGTATCCAAACATGAAACTACAATGGCTTCTTTTGAAACCATTGCATCACACTACCTTTTCATTCCCTAGTTTAAATCCCAGGTTCTGTATCACTTTCCTAATAGCCTGCTACCTCCCTACCCACTGTTTTTAGTGTCAAACTTACAGGTTCAACATTCATTGTCAATCATCATAAGAAATCTGTCAATATTTCAAAGTAAAAACAACTAGAACCCTAAAAATCCCTGTGGCCTTGCTCAGCTACTATGCAGTATCTCTCCACTTTGCTTTCAGTCACCAGGATGAAGCCCTGAGATCATCTTTATTGTTTCTCCCTGTATCCATTGACAAACTTCCTTGAGGGCGCTACTGCCTTCAGCCTCCGCCCACACTTCCCCACATTTCAGTGGGTCTCTCTTGGCAGCCTCCTAACTGAAAGTGCTACCCACTTTCCATAAGACAAAAAGCAAAAACCTTCCTACAATCAAATTCTGATTAGTGAGTCAGAGCACATTCCCACATGAGACCTTACACATTTTCAGTGCTTAAAGTTCAAAACGTTTAGCAAGTTCTTACAAGATCCTTTTTTAACTAATGTTCTCCCACCGATGCCTTTAATTTTATTATCAACTGCCAATTAGTCTCACAGTTTTTAACTCAATATTTTCCTTACGAATTCCATTAGCTTAAATATACTTCTTGATCTTCATTAAACTTTATTAACCTTCACAGCCTACTTCCTCCAGAAACCTAATATTCATGTTTTTCAAGTTTTTACCAGAACCTTCTCTATTTCCCTACCTCAGGTGAAGTAAGGTCTTTAGCTCCAACCTGCTGTGTTCCTGAAGACTAGTGTCTGTGCTCTCCAGTCCCTCCTCCCCAAGACCACAGCATCACTGCATCTTTTCTCTTGTGGTACCCACCACACTTAAAGTTCAGCATAGCTCTCTGCTACCCTCTGCTCACTGCTGAGGCCATTGGTCCCCAAGGCTCTGCCCCTTTACTCAATGGTCCCTCATAAGAGAGGACACGTGGTTTGCAGAATGTACCCCTCCACCCCAAGCCAGTAGCGTCAGCAGCTTGTACAAATAAAATTCTCTATGTCGTGTCCCCCATTTCCTAAATCAGAAACTCTGGGATGAGCTCTGAAACCCTTATTTTAACAACATTCCATTCTGACATATACTCACTAAGAAGCACAAATAGAAAAAAAAAAATCAAATAAGCAACACTCAGTAACACATGTATAAAAGAACTGCTCACCTCTATAATTTAATATTATAGTCAAATGTAGTCCTTTCAAAACATTAAAAATAAGTAATCTATATGCCAACACCTTAAACCTAACTTGCACATTTTAAAAGGCTTATAGAAATACTTTCATAATGTTAAAAAAAAGATTTAAAAACAAGTTATTTGAGCATACATAGGTTTACAAGTAGTCTCAAATATTTTTTTTTAAAAGGGTGGTGGTGATAATCCCAAAATTCACAATCAAGGGTCCACCCAGGAAACAGAGTGGCGCATGCACACACACCCAGCCAATCAGTGGGAAAATTCTGGGTACTGAGCTGGGTGGTAGCTTCCCAGATACTGACATTAATTAAGATTTTGTAGGAATGAGTGGTGACTTTGTATCATGACAGAAGACTATTATTCAATTATGTGTGCTCTGAAATGTTTCCTGAATACTATGTGTGCCTGTGTGTGTATGATGTATGTATGAGGGATGTGCATACATGTGTGTGCATAAGGTATGTATAAGGAGTACACATGTATATGTGTGTATGATGTATGTATGAGAGGTGTACATGCATGTGGAGGCATGATGTTGACATTTGTAGGTCGTCCTTATAGCTCTACACTATATTTATGTGTATGTGTGTGTGTGTGTGTGTGTGTGTGTGTGTGTGTATGTGTGTTGGTTTATTGTGAGGCAGGGTCTTTTTGCTGACTGTGGAGCTCACAGGATGGGTAGACTTACTGATCAGAGAGCACCAGATTCCCACTCATCTCTCCTTGCTATCTCTCTCACACTAGGCCTAAAGATGTGAGCCCACTGCCCAGCTTTTAACATGGGTGCCAGGGATCTGGACTCAGATCCTCCTGCTTGGACAGCGAGCATCTCCCAGCCATTTCCTCACTGCCATAAGTCATTTGAAGAGATTATAAAGAAATGAATACAGGTCATGCTTCTTCCATACTCTCAGTCCCCAGAGAATGTTGTTAATCCTACCTGTGTGCGATTGAATGCCACTCTTGCAAAGACAGCTTGAGACACACTGGCCCTCTTCAGCTCATCTCTAACTTGCTGGTAAATATCAGGGGAGACTTCTACAGAGGAGTTTGTTGGCTCTGGCTTAACTGCTCTGGGAATGGGTGGATGGTTCAAGAACTGCTGGTTGATGGCTTGAGGATGCTGGTGAGCCAGGAGCCGGCTAACGGCTATCTGTTGGTTTATCAGATGGGCCATGGCTATTTGCTGCCTGACAAGCTGTGGACTGAGCTGTGGTGAGAGAAGACCAGGGCTCATGATGGGCTGTAGTGCGGGCACTTGGTTTCGGATTGGAGTACTGTGGTGGATTTGGCTATGAGGAGACTGTTCGTTGGTTTTGCCCAGGGATGCCAGCTGGTTCATATTTGGTAAATGCATTGGCCGCTGGCCCAGAACACAATAGTCTGAAAGGTTCTCTCGCTCCACTCTTTCCACTGTTGAGAGATAAAAAGAAAAATTCACCATTATCATCATACATTTTCATGATTATAGTTTATTTCAACTACATAGAGTATTTAATTGTTTTATTTTTGGTACATTAATGATACAAATATTTTTCATACGAGTCTAAAGAACCTCAAAGCAAAAGTGAGTAATTCTTATGATAAAAGGGCTAAGCAGTCAATATCAATCTGTGGCTCTCAGCCCCTTTGACAAATCTCTATCTCCAAAAATGTTTACATTATGATTCATAACAGTAGCAAAATTAGAGTTATGAAGTAACAATGGAAACAATTGTATGGTTAGGGGTCACCACAGCATAAAGAACTGCAGTAAAACAGTTGCAGCATTAGGAAGGTTGAGAACTACTGGGTTACACTTATAGATTTTTTTTTCATAAAAGATACGAAAGTGAAAATATTTGCCACTTCAGCTTGTTTAAATTTGTTAAAACTAAGCACTTCCTAGATTAGCAAGACAAGGACACACCAGCCAGTACCAATTCCAAAGCCCAAGACATCTGTAAGCCCTGTGATCTCCTTCCATCTACAACCTTAGTAAGCAAATACCAACTGCTCTAATCTACTACAGCTCATGGCTAAGAGCCTAGTTCACAGTTACCAGAAGAACAGCAAAGGCAATGTCTCCTGATGGAAGCTGCTACCTTCTAATTCTGTGTTGGGAATGCACCAGGGGTACATCTAAAAGCAGAATGCCTACTGATCATGCGGAGGGTGGAAAAGGCTTTGATAGCCAGTACTCCAACTGTGATGGAAAGTTCATGAAAATGCTACCATAAATCCACTGCTTCCTCACTTGCTGTCTTCTTTTGAAAATGGATATTTTAGTAATCCCAAGATTAGTAACATCATCTTGACTAGTCCTTAAATAAGATTCTTTCCTACTCCAAGTTATTGCCAATTATTAAAAGTTTAAAGGATAATCTTGAATGAGTGAACGAAGAGAATGTTTCACAGATGCACAAGTTGAGGACATAGGATCAGTCCACAGCAAAGGAGGTCATGGCCTTACTAAGGTCTGTGAGGCTGGAGACATGGTTCTGCAGTTAAGAGCACTGGTAAGCTTTCTCTAGACCTGGGTGCATTTCCCAGTTTATTGTACTTTATTACCTAAAACAAAGTTTTGTTTGAAGAAAACACCTGAGGCATAAACAGTTAGGTCATTGCTAGTTTTAAGTGTTCATAGTAATGACCTCAAAAATGTGTTTCAAAGCAAATTCCGATGTCCCTTAGTAAGAAAGCCTTACTTCTTATGCTTCCAAATATTAGGTATAATTATGCAAAAAAAAAACTTTCAAAGAAGCTAGGTGTGATAGCACAGAGAAAGGAGATCACTGTAAGTTCAAAGCTACCCTGAACTACTCATCAAGTTCTAAGATGCCTACACGACCCCCACGTCCATTAAAGATAAATCCAAGATAAATTCAACAGGCACTGTCTATGGTGGTTACATGCTAGAAATCAAAACTACTTACCTGCAGGGAAAATATTTTTAAGGGTTTTTATTTGCATTACCTTTATCTGTGTATATATGTGTATGGGTATGTGCCTGTGAGCTCAAGTGCACTTAGAAATCGGAGGCAACACACCCCATAGAGCTAAAGTTATAAGCAGTCATGAGCAGTCTAATGTGGGTCTTAGGAACAGAACGTGGGAGCTCTGTAAGAATATGTTTTTAATCTTTAACCATAAGGTTAGAGAGTCATCTCTGTAACTTCAGGAAAAACTTCAAAATAACGATTTTTTATCATTAAATTAGCATTTGCAGGGTGATATGCAGCTTAGACTGAAAGAAGCCAGCATAAGGAGTAAGGGAAAGACTGCACAGGCTCAGAGACTTTAAAGAAAAATTACAAGTGCTGGGAAACAGGCTGGGACACACATGCGGAACGTGAATACAATCGATCAACTGGGAACATGGAAGAAAGTGGTTTTTTTCCCCCTAAATTAATAACTTAACATGATTTTTTAAAAGGAATATATGTGGAAGTAAATTTACATATCAAAATGTGAGTATTTGACCATGTTATTCTCTATTTTGAATATTTCCAGAGGTTTTTTTTTTTTTTTTAAGAAGTAGGCAGCCAACCTATCTTAGGATCATATTTACACACATACAATTATTTTTTTCTTCTTTTTCTAAAGAACCAAACTTTTGTTTAACTTTTCTATGAACTCCCAAGTAAGGCAAAAGTTTACTTCAAACTTCTTTAATTTCTAACTGAATCTCTGACTGTAAACTCATTTAGTTTACACGTCACCTTCCCTGCGTAAGGTTCAAGAGAGACAAATCGTTTAACCTTCTCTAAAGGCACACATCTTCCAATCACTGTATTAATTAAACATTCAAGTACAGAGCCTTGAATCCAAACCAAGCGAACAGCCAGGAGCGTTTAGATAAGGCAATCCAACAGGGTTCCCATTGACAGGAATTATTATTGTAATTTCTTTATTATAAGAAGATGTAAAGAGACCAGGGACAGCTTCCAGAGTGCAGTCAGACTTCACAGACACAAACACTCAGTCTCAGGTAAACATGTGATTCATTGGTTTGAGCTTGTTTGTAATTCAGCCAATTCAATTTTTAAATTGTTTTCAAGTACTTAATAAGCAAATTTTTATCCCCACTTTTTCTACTAAATAAAACAGAGAATCACCTCTCTATAGAATATATTCTCCAATCAAAAGTTAATTGTCTAAACTTTTAGTGTTTTTTTATCCTTCCTCAAAGATTTACTACTCTTGACTGAGTTGACTTTTCTGTGATATATCTAAATGGCATTGTTTACTTAAAAAAACTATAGATCTAGCCATGATTATGCATGTAATTAAAATGTAAGTATAAGAGATCAAGAAAACCTATAGGAGTTGTGATAAGTCAAAATAATGATCAGTGCATATATTATTTTTGCATATAATAACTTCCTTCTGTAAGAATCCCTAGATCTGCCAGGCAGTGGTGGCGCACGCCTTTAATCCCAGCACTTGGGAGGCAGAGGCAGGTGGATTTCTGAGTTTGAGGCCAGCCTGGTCTACAGAGTGAGTTCCAGGACAGCTAGGGCTACACAGAGAAACCCTGTCTCGAAAAACCAAAAAAAAAAAAAAAGAAGAATCCCCACACCTGCAGCCAGGCATGGTGGTATACACCTTTAATTCCAGCACTCAGGAGGCAGAGGCAGGCAGGTCTCTGAGTTCAAGGCAAACCTAGTCTACAGAGTGAGTTCCAAGACTACACAGAGAAAAACCAACCAAATGAAAATTGAACAAAAAGAGAATTCCCACATCATTATAATGCTTACGACAGGAGCTGTGATGGGAGCATGTTAGAGATGTGTCAGTGTCATTTCTCCAGTAATGAGGGGGGTTGCAGACATCAGTGCTGGCCATGGCTAACTGGGGAAGGGTCGCTGCGGAGGGGCAGAAAATCTATCCATGATGCAAACTGAGTGTCTTCTTCTTTTCTTCTGACTTTTATGAAAACTACTGATTTTTACCTGATGATTCTATGCATTGGGAATTAGCTTCATTTTCAAAATACAAGACAGATAAAACATCTGATAATTAAATCCTGCCTGTATGGTTGCCATCTTTTCTTTTTAAATTTTGTCATTTACTAAAGATACTCTTGTGTTTATCAGCCTCTTGATAGCTTTATCAATAAAATCCAGGTTCTTTACCTCTAAAGATCAAAAGCGGCAAGCCTTACAAAGCCCTCAGCACTGACTTCTCTCTCAGGGCACAAGAGGATATGCTCTCCTGAGTTTATCCACATTATCAGCAAAAGACATTGGTCCCCCAGTTACGGCTTTATTCCAAGCAACTGTACCATATAGCCAGAGAACATAGCCAGGGATTGGCCTTTCTTTTTTTTTTTTTTTTTTTACCTTTTAAGACAGGGTTTCTCTTTGTAGCCCTAGATGTCCTGGAACTCGTTCTGTAGACCAGACTGGCCTTGAACTCAAAGAGATCTTCCTACCTCTATCTCCCAAATGCTGGGATTAAAGGCATGCACCACCACTGCCAGGTTTGAGAGTCAACTTTTAATTGGTACAGGGACATCAACAAATAGTTTTCTGGCTTCATGAAAAGGCTAAAGTATATAATCGATTATTAGAAAATATTTACATATATTATGCATAGAGAATATGTATGTGTGTATATGTGTGTGTGTGTATGCGCGTGCGTTCGTGCGTGTGTGTGTGTGTGTGTGTGTGAGCATATATGTATATACATATATGTGGAGAGGGAGAAGGGAAGTGTGTGTGTGTGTGCGTGTGTTTGTGTGCGTGTGCATGCGTGTGTGTGTGTGTGTGAGCATATATGTATATACATATATGTGGAGAGGGAGAAGGGAAGTGTGTGTGTTTGTGTGCGTGTGCATGTGTGTGTGCGTGTGTGTATGTGAGCATATATGTATATACATATATGTGGAGAGGGAGAAGGGAAAGCACAAGTGTTTATATACCAGTATCCTGGCACCTGAATCACTTTATTGAAATTTATATAAAATCTCTCCAGATGTTGGGACTGTGGTATGGTATAATGGCTCCAAACAGAGACTTCAAAGCCACATGCCAGGATTGAATCCTGTCACAGCAATTTGGCAGGTGTGTGGCCACTTCTCTGTGCTGGAACTATGTAAAATAACTGTCTCCTGCAGTGAGCCAGGGTGATGGAGAGTGTTGGAGCTAATGCCTTTCAGCATCTACACACATTTGCGGATGGACACACAGTTCAGGTCTGTGGGGTAGCAGATATTCCAGCTGAGATCCTTTAGTATACACGGCGCATTGGAAGATGGTTAGAAACAGTTATGGGTACTGAGTCAGTTGAGATTCTAATGATCTGTGAGTAGCCTAAGCCGAGAACCAATATGCCATGTCATCTCTGCTCTGAAGTATCTTAGTATGAGTATAAATGAGGGTGTCGTATAATCTGTGCTTGCATTTGCTGGTGCTAGCTCTTGCAGTCAT